GGGGTGCTCGTGGCTGCCGTCGAAGGCCTGCAGCGCGCCCGCGCACGACTCGCGCATCGCGTCCGCGAACACGCCCGGCATGTAGCGACATATCGTTAGACGCACCTGAAAACCAACAATAAAGCGGAATTATATTTAGCATTAAATAAAAGTCCGAACCCTTATAAATCTTTTTTTTTACCACTTTAGTTGATTTTAAAAACACAAACGTTTCTCTTTCGCTGCACACATCCGTTGCTTTTTATACCATTGCTTTATGTTCCTTACATTAATTTAAAAATACCCCATTGAGTGAATCAAATGATACCTTTCATAAAATCGAAAAAGCCTTTTAGACTATGGGAAGTCACGAAGGAATTGACCATATATGGTCTGACTCTATCATGTTAGAATAAATCTAAAGGTTACCCGGAATATAATAAATTCCAACAAACATCAGAAAAACATTGAATTAACTTTGAGAACACACAGTCAGTGATATAGTGCTATTGTTGAATTTATGCTTTACCTTAGGGCCATGTAATTTGTCGGCCATCATTCGGGCCAGCAGTTCCGCGGCAGATTCTCTCATCTCTGGTACTTTGCTATTGCAGAACAGATCTAATAAGTAGATCACCGCACCTGTACATCAAATTTGTTTATTATTAAAACGAAACAGTAAAATAAACATATTTATAATTAATTTAGTATAAAATAATTCTACACAATCAGGGTTTACATTAGAACATTAATATTTTTGGTCCTTCGAGCCGGATTAAAAATTGAAAAAAACCCATTTCTTTCTAGTCCCAGACTACATTGGCGAGAAATATAGAAAAGTAAGTAGCCTGCGTTTACTTCCCGATTATGTTCTACATCTGTACAAAATTTCATTGAGATACGTTAAACTGTTGTAGGGTTACCTTCTAACATACATCTGGGTCTATACCAGAAATACATAGACTAGACATAATGAACATTTTTTCACCAGTAACTTCTTTGAAAGGTACTATGTAAGTAGTCAAACATATGATTTAGACACCTATTGGCGATTTATTTAAATACAATTATATTTACATGTAGTTTTGTGGATCTATTAATATGGCGTTAGTGAGGATCATGTAAAAATTTCCCAAGTGAAGTGTCAAATAAACTTTCGAAGTTACAGTATTAGTAATATTTACCTTTAGCTAGTGCTTCTCTAACAATCGCCGTGCTGGCTAGCAAGGCAGCTAAGGTGGGCAATGCATTATCCGGCGGCTGCTTGTCCGCCAGCAGCGGCAGCAGGTGTCCGAGCACGCCGCACGCCGCCACGTCCTCCACGCACTCGCGCACGCCGCTCGCCGCCAGCGCCGCGCTCAGCGCCGCCGCTCGCAGCGCGCTCCACGACCCGCCGGATATCAGCCCGAATATCAATCCGAAAGAACCGATACATTGGATCTCAACACCTGTTAACATATAGTTCATTATTGTACATCCAAATAAATGATAAAAGAATAAAGATTTAAGAAATACATAGGTAGGCATAGTGAACAAATTTTTTTACCGGTAATAACTCTGACAGGTAATATATCAGTTGTCAAGTATTATTGTATTGACATTTTAGAAAATGACAATACGCTCTATATTTTGTTATAAGATAAACTAAACAGTTTCACAAAAATATAAATAATAACGTTTAATGACACCTATTGACAATCAATTACAGCGACATGTGATTTTAGGCTGCCAACAGATAGCGTTAGTGATGATTATGTGAAAAAATGTCTCAAATGGAATGTCCACTGTCCCTATTCTATACATTTTTTATCTTTAAGAGAAGTCAACAATTTTTAAATTACATTATAATCAATAAATTCAAATATTTGTGTGTTTCCAACCAGTGGCCCAGCGTGGTTGACTAAGGCCTGGTCACTCTAACTTAGGGTAACCTTTAAATCCCTCAGTGAGGACGTACATTAGCTGGTGAAGAGAAAGAATTAAAACAGCATAATATAGTTGTAAGGATAATCTTACCAGGATTCTTGATGAGAACATTAGCTAAAGCGTTGAGAGCAAGTGTGATACGTCCAACTCTCTCATCTGTCATGTCGTTTTGTGTTTCTTCCTTGATGAACTTCAACAAGTCTATCACAAACTGTTGAGGATTCTGTAAGAAAAGTCAGGAATAAATGGTTACTTCTGATTTCTGGTGACACATGTTTTAAATGAAACAATCTCAAGTGCAAATGTCCGTTACCATAGCAACGCTCCTTCCTTTATGTGTTCGGTTTGTAGTTTATGGTCCCTTTCCCACATGATTCCAATTTATTTGCCCCTAAGTTTAATAGCGAGTCGTAAGTGTAGGGCTTTTTAAAAAAGAAATAATTATCCAGAAATATGCTGTGACTACTGATATCCTACGTTACGAAGTAGTATGTATGTTCACACTTTATTATATTTTTCTATGCAAATATTGTAAAGAGAAAAGATTTGTATTTTTGTATGTTTTTAAATAATTCAAAAACTACTGAACCGATTTCAAATATTCTTACACCATTAAGAAGTCACATTATTAGTAACATACGCTATATATTTTCACGCGAAGTCGAAAGCAAGTATAGAAGTATAGATGATAGATCTTATAGTATTTCGGTTCTTACTTCGATAGGATAATCAGGTTGTTCATTGTATATATCCAGATATAATCCGCCGACGGGCAGCAGGCCACTGTGAGCGGAGTACGCGAAGGCGGGGTCGAGCAGCGGCGCGTCCTCGTCGAGCGAGCGCCA